AATAATCCAACCTTTTCTCGATTTTCCCAAATTAATCTAACCTTTTGATTATTTTGTAATAATCCAACTTTTGCCACCCATTTTCTTCTAGCAAACCTATGTGACCGATTACCTAAATATCAGGTAAAATATTTTTTTTTCTCCTATTCCCTCATTCTTCTTCCTCCTTACCGACATCAATGGATGGTAGCCCAACCCACTACCCAACCATAAACAATGGCTTCCTATCTCTCTCCTCCTTCCTCCTCCCCTCTTTAAAACCTTTCCACCTTCAAGTACAACAACCATCACCCATCTTCTTCATCCCTCAACCCCACAACCACAACCAACCCCTTCTCCAACTTCTCCTTCGACCACCACAAGATACTGCTACCCACCCCTCTCGCCACCCTATTTGGCTAGAAACCACCCCAAATCTCAAAACCATAATAAATTGTAATACCAAAGAAACTCAAACCCCCACAATTTCTCTCTCCTCATTTAGAAATGTTGATGTTATTGATTTGATGTAGGTCATGGTTATGGTTGTAATGCTCGTGTAAATGGTCGGAATGGGATTTGGTGAGGTGGTATAGGCGGTGGGATGGTGCCTTTGGTGTTGGGTCATGGATTAGGGATTTAGGGTTGGAGGTGGGTCATGATTGTAGGTTAAGGGTGAGCCGTGGATGGGGGTTAAGTGTGTTGTGGTTGGGGGTCGGGTTATGTTGGTTGTGGTGTTTTGAGGTTTGTGGTGGAGTGTGTGGTGCAGGGAGGCTATCTGTGAGGTGGAAGGGGTGGGAATTTTTTTGTTTTTTTTTTATTTTTTTTAAATTTTATTATTTTAAAATATAATTTAAATAATTTTTTAATAAAAAAAAATCAAAGGTTAACCATTTTAACTAAAAAGGTTAGCCATAAACCTAAAAAAGGTCACTATAGTCAATTTTTCTAAACCTTGGTGCCACTAAAGAGAGCTGAAAAAAACTTCGTCTTCCACGTAGGAAATTCAAAACCATGAGGCCACCATGTAAAATTTCCCTAAAACATAATCCAAATTAAGTACAAGTACATGCTACATTTAACTAAAGCTAAGCTACAACCGGAGTACCCTGCCCTACTCCGCCACTACCCGGGTCGTCCCTGGGGTCTCGAGGCTGAGGTTGAATGGTGGAACATGTGTCGCTTGGCAAACGACTCATAAACTCCTCCCACCTCTCCTGGTTTCTCCTCTCCATTGCGGCCATTGTCGCTTCAAGTCGGGCTTCCATCTCGACTTCCAATTCACTCTGGATTTCACTGCGAAGAGCCTGCACCCTATGCTCCATCTGATCTTGCATCTGAGAAACAATGGAAGGCGTGTACTGTTGTGAAGACGTGGAAACTCGTCCCATTCGACTGCCATAGTACAGCTCTGCACTTCGACCAAGTCCCTTCACACGACCCTTCTTGTTGCGACCACCCACGGTCTCCCAGTACAACTCATTCGGACTCTTCCGAATCCCTTGAGTGCTTGCCTCTTCAACCTTCTTCTGGTAGGCCTCCTACAAGATATATATATGAAAAGGAGCAACTTACTAAGTTTAAGGAAGCATTTTCAACAAAATAGAACCAAGTAAGGCCTAAATGACTTCTACGTTGCCCATTTTCTTCATTTATTACCAAATGAGTTCTTTCTTTGTCATAACATGTCAATGATAGGTAGTTTTAGGTGCATAGGGCTTGAAATGACAAAAGCCAAAGTAACTAAGTTTTAGGAACCTTTTTCATCCAAAATTCATCCAAATGTGGCCTAGGTGACTTCTACGTTGCCCATTTTCTTCATTTATTACCAAATGAACTCTTTCTTTCTCATAACATGTCAATGATAGGTAGTTTTAGGTGCATAGGGCTTCAAATGACAAAAAAACCAAAGTAACTAAGTTTTGATTCTAAGTTATATTGAAGTTGATACCGCAATTTGCTTCGCTTTGGTGTTGACTGGCACTGTGCCTTTCCCAGGCACATTCCTTGAAGTGCGTCTTCAGAAAAAGCTCAGGAGCTGTTGGTAGCTGGCCTTTATTCTTCCCCACCTTTGATTATACATGCAGAAAATAACTGTTATAAATGTCACACCACCATTACATTGTAATACACAAATGCATTCTATTTTACTTGCCTATTAAACAAACTTACCATCCTTTTTGCATGTTGGACAGCTGACATAGAACCCTGATAGTGGGTTGGTTCGACCACATTTTAATTTCCATCGAACCGCCCCTTCTGTTCTTCCTATTTTGGGCCAACTTCTTCTTATATGTCGGATATGTGGCAACAATGTCCATCATCTTCTTGTGGACTTCCTCATTAAGCCAGCCTGGCGTGGTGCCATTCATCTTGCGTGTGACCGTGTAGAATATGTCACGTAGGCGAGTTGCAAACCTCCTTTGAAAAGTGAACTTCACATGCTCGTTCAATTGAGGTGCCCATGTGAATTGTTTTTGCGAATGATAAACTTTAAAAGTTATAAACTCAACTCAATCAATCCTATCAAACAAACATGTATTAACTAAGTTAAAAATAGCATACGCTGAACAAGTTCCACCAGTGTTGTTTCGTTGCTTCATCTATCTCTCCATAGTTCCTCTAAGCTTCTTGATAGTATCCAGTAAGCGTATGGAGACCGCACTCCTCACCTTGTTATCATCAAACCTACAATAAACGAGAAACAAAAATGTTAGATGATCATCAACAAAAAGTAATGTTTAACTTGTTAGAAGTAATAAAGGGGTTAAATTTTCAAAAATAAGAATATAAGTTCAATTCATTAAATGTACGTACGTATAAGAGCGTAGTAGGGTCTAATACTGGCAACTCTGAATGCTCTTGTGTCGATCCTTTGCATGGGTGGAGGGGGGCTCTAGAGTGGCACCCAAATCCACCGCCTTGAGATCCTCCATTTCTACATCCTGGTCTTCGATCACAATGGCGGGAGCTTTCCCTTTCCCCCTTGCTTTCCTCGACGATTCTCCATCTCTACCCCCCGCCATGACCACCTGAAATAGATGTTAGTAACATGACATGATATTATAAATGACAAGTATAGTGCAATGTAATAAAATTTTATACAAACAATAAAGATTTAATATAAGATCAAGTCATATTTTGATTTTACAATAACAAGCAAATTCTTAAAGGAGATTAACATCTTCTCCTATTCAGTAATCTCATCACTACTATCACTAGAATCATCACTACTATCATCTAATAATACATCGATGTCATCATCCTCGTCATTATCTCTAGAGTCGATACTAGATTCATCATCTTTATCACTTGAGCTAACAAAGCCATCGTCATCATCTTCATCATCATCATCTATGGCATAGTCTGGAATGTCATTCGGTGGGCCAAGAGTTGCATGTACTTGTGGGGATGGTGCTTGCAAAAACTTTAAGTCCACTGAAGCATCAACCACTGACCTTGCTTGTGTTTTAAACACAGCCCACCATTGAACTCGATCCCGTTTCAGGCTAGGGTATGATGCGTAGTACACTTGAGTCACTTGGTAAGAAAAGACAAATAGATCATACTTGGGGTATTTCTTAGTATGATTTACTTCGACAAGCTTGTATTGTTCATGTATGTTCATTCCCCTACCATAATCCATCCAACTACACTTAAACAAAATAGTCTTGTACTCTTTTTCGGAACCAGTGTAGACAAGTTCAATTATGTCGTCTATAATGCAGAATTACTCTCCACCATCCTCACTTGATACACACACACCATAATTCATTGTAGATTTGTTCTTACCATGGGCATGTGTATGGAAATTAAATCCACCGACAAAAATATGCCTCCAAGTTCGAACTCGCTTGAAAGGACGCATGCACAACGCTCGCAGGACATCCGATTTGGTTTCTCTTCAACCACTTATAAACGGTTTGAATATCAACGTCACAGTTCATGAATTGAATAAATTGAAGTGCAAGAAGTAAAATTCCTAATCATGTCACGGTTAGACCGTTAATATCATCTTGTGATGAAACTAATCAAAGAATTCAGCTTCGCATTTCTCCATGACTTCTTCTCTACGAGGTCGAGTACTAAGAATGTAGTCCTCAAACCTCTTACGAGGTCAAAGACACACGGTAAATAAACATTGTAATCATTTTAATTATTCATAACGTTGAACACAATTCATTCTTAAACATATTATACCTTTCGTATTCACCAAGAATGCCGCTGTTTTGTAACACGAACAAATGAGCACACTCGAGTTCTTTTTCATCTAAAAACCGAGTTTTACCCTCATTTGACACACGACCGCTATCCTCAGTGAACAACTCTAGTATTTTAGCGTCATCCACTGTGGAGTCCACGTCGGCATTCACATTTCTACTGAGATCTCGTGTTTTAGTGTCAACTGTCACCTGAAAGTAATTAGAGCAGAAGTTTGCTATCTCTTCGGTGAGATAAGCATTGCATATGAAACCTTCAACTCGAGCCTTATTCCCAATTTTACGTTTCAAGTGATTGAGGAACCTACAATTATAGTTATATAAATGTATAAACAAGTCATGACAATGAATGGGAAGTAAAAAAGAGGATATGAAAGGGTCTTTGATTTACCTTTTGAAGGGACACATCCATCTATATTGAACAGGACCACATAACTTGCCCTCATATGGGAAATGAATAGGCAAATGCTCCATGGAGTTAAAGAATGCTGGAGGGAAGACCTTCTCAAGCTTGTAAAGGATCTCAACTATGTTTTTCTCCAATCGCTCCATGTCACTTACTGTGATTGTGTAGCAACACAAGTCGCGGAAGAATTGGCTTATTTCTGTCATTGCATTCCAAATATGACCAGGGAGCAATTCCCTCAAAGCAATGGGCAACAATCTCTCCATGAACACGTGACAATCATGGTTTTTCATTCCGTGTAGCTTACATGCCTGCAAATCTACGCATCTACTCAAATTGGAGGCGTAACCATCAGGAAACCGCAGCTGTTTAACCCACTCACACAAAACTTTTCCCTAAGCCTTGTCAAGAGCGAATGGAGCCTTTGGCATGAACTCTTTTCCTCTATCATCCTCCTGAAGATGAAGCTGCGGCCGTTTACAATATTTGACAATGTCATTTCGAGCCGATGGCGTGTCACATGTATGCCTTTTCACATTCATTATAGTGTGAATTAACTGATCAAAGAAGTTCTTTTCAATGTACATGACATCTAAGTTATGACGAATGAGCAGATACTTCCAATATGGAAGCTCCCACAGTGTGTTTTGCTTGAACCACCCCTTTTTGAGGCGTTTTAAGTGCCTCGGGCCAATCTATAGCCTTCAGAAGGTCTTTCACACATCCCCACAGTTCTTCTCCTGACATGATGTGTGGAGGTGCACCTTTATCGACTTTGTTTTTACAAAATGCAGTTCTACTATTCCGTAAAGGGTGATTCGTGGAAAGGAATTGGCGGTGGCAATCAAACCAAGAAACTTTACCACCATGTTCGAGCCAAAATGCTTTGCTTTTCTCCATGAAATATGGACAAGCCTTCTTACCAGATGTGGTCCAACCAGACAACATACCATAAGCCGGGAAGTCACTAACGGTCCATAGGATGGCTGCTCGAAGATTGAAATTCTGTTTCCTCGAAATATCGCAAGTATTTGCGCCAACTTCCCATAATTGTTTTAATTCTTCTATCAACGGTTGCATGTACACATCCAAGTTTCCCTTAGGATTTTTAGGACTAGGAACGAGCAACGAAAGGAACATGAATTGTCTTTTCATACACATTGATGGAGGCAAGTTATAAGGGGTTAAAATGACAGGCCAACAAGAATATTGTCCCCCAAACTTACCATGAGGAGAAAAACCATCTGTACACAAGCCAAGTCGAACATTACGAGGCTCGGAGGCAAACTCTGGAAAGCAACTATCGAGGTGTTTCCAAGCTTCACTATCACTAGGGTGTGCCATTGTGCCTTGTACTCGAGGGTTTTTCGAATGCCATGTCATTTCCTCTGAAATGTTCTTGGTTACAAAGAGCCTTTGCAACCTTGGTGTGATCGGGAAATAAAATAAAACATTCAAAGGCACTAAGCTACCTTTAGAAGTCTTCTTGTATCGGTCGCTGCCACACACCCTACATGTAGATATCTGAGCATCATCCTTCCAAAACAACATACATCCTTTCGGGCATGCATGAATCTTTTCATGAGGCAGCTCCAAGCCCTTCACAATCTTCTTCACCTCATAGAATGTGTCGGCCATATGGTTGTTGTTAGGAATCGCTTCACTGACAAATAAGAAAACCCATCAACACATCTGTGGGGAAAATTATACTCGCACTTTAGACTAGTAATTCTAGCAGTCATCTCTAACACAGACAATGAACTCCCTTCGTATAATGGTTGTTTAGAAGCCTTCAACAAATCTAGAAAATGATTAGCTTGTGCATTAGGCTCCTCCTCTGAATGCCCTTGGTCTTGAGTATGACCAAAAGCATCGAAAACCATTTCACAATATTTGTTGGACCGCCCTTCAAGAACTCCTAGAAACCCTTCCCCATGACACATCCACTCATAGTAATTAGGTAGAAAACCCTTGCGAAACAAATGAATTGTAACCGTTTTCGCATCCCAAAGTCGTTTGTTCTTACATTTAAAACATGGACACCTAACTTCATTTGGGTTACTACTCTCGAGATGATCTTTGACGTACTGAATGAATTCATCAACCCCTTTCACGAACTCTGGATTAATAGAAAGCCCAACCTTCCTTTCATACATCCAGCTACGTTCTCTTCGTTTCATGATTACAACTTCTACACAACTCACGCATATGTGTATTCACATTAGTCACAAAGCGTATTTAATACTCATTATCCATCAAAGTGTTATGGAAATGCAAATGTGATTTAAAATGATGTCCAAGGGTCCTTATCACTCCAACCTAACCCATCCTTGTACGTTTAATCCCAATAGTGAATGTAACCCAGGTTTTCAATTCTATGGAAAATCCGCCAGCATTTCCCTACAGTTCTCCAAGTACACGATGTAGGCGATTAGACACACCTACATATGTACCTAGAGAACATTGTAGAGAAATGAGAAGGTAGGATATTCCCTAGAATCAATAATAAGGCATACATTTGCCACCTAAGTGAGAATAAGCGTACAAGGACAGTCCCAAACAGGGACTATTCAAGACATACTCCTAATGTGTATGCCTTGAACGGGTATCTAGGCATATGATTATGAAAATGATTTATTTAAAAATATATAAACTAAACTAACATACATTATATTAAAAAAAAATATCATAATTAATCTAAACAAAACTAACATATCATAATATCATAATATTCAAATAAACCAAACCAAACAAAACCAAACTAAACTAAAATATCATAATATTAAACCAAAATAACATACATTATATAAAACTAAACTAAACTAAGCTACATTATATTAAACTAAACTACATTAAATTAAACTAAAGTAATCTAACATACATCATATTAAACTAAACCAAACCAAACTAACATATCATAATATTAAACTAAACTAACACACATTACATAAAACTAAACTAAATTAAACTACATTAGATTAAACTAAACAAAACTAAACTAACATACATTGTATTAGGGTTTTTAATATGACAATTAAACCAACTATTTGTACAAATCCTACACAAAAATTAAAAAAAAAATATAAAAGGGTTTATTATTATACCAAAATTAAATTAAAACAAAAGGGGAAAACGAACTCACTATGGGTAGATAAAAACTCGGTGGCGGCTACACGACAAGCTCGGTGGAGGCGTCGTCGGTGGTGGCTGCAAAATAAGGGCGGTGGAGGAAATTAATTTATTAAAAATTTAAAAAAAGAAAAAGGGGGAAAGTAGGAGGACTTACCGAAATTTGTGGTGGTTCTAGTCGCGGCGACGCAAGGGAGGAGGTCGGAGGTAGCTTGGTGGAGGTGGCGTCGGTGGTGGCTGCGAAGTACAGTTAGGGGTTTACCGGTTTTATTAAAAAATTAAAAAAAAAAACAAAAAAACAAAAAAAAACAACAACAACACTGACCTTTTTCGACGGCGCCAGGGGCGGCAGAAGCTGGCTCTGGTGGCAGCAACGAACGGGTGTGGCTAAGGAAACGGTGGTGCGGGTTAGGGATCCGGGAAAAAAAAATCAAAAAACTAAGTAAACTTACCAATCGGCGGCCAAGGCGGAGAAACCCGGTAGATGCGGCGGACCTGGTGGTCGCCGAAATTCTTTCTCTTTCTCTTTCTCTTCCTTCCCGTTCTTTTTTTCTCTCTCTTCTGGTTCTGTTTTCGTGAATTACAATATTAAGGTTGTGGGTATATTGTAATACGTTCCGAGGGAATTAAATTCTTCCGACGGAATATTCCGTCAGAAACTATTTTTCGAGGGAATATTTCGTCGAAAGAATATAATTCCGACGGAATTTATTTCCGTCGGAAAATACTTTTTCCGACGGAATATTCTGACGGATCTAAATTCATCGGAAAATTCGAATTTTCCTACAAAATTTTTGGTCCGTCGGAAAACGGCCTATTTCTAGTAGTGGTGGTTTACGAACTACAAGCAGGTTGATAGAGGTGTTACTATAGCCAACAACGAAGTATAAATAGTTGGTATAGGGTCCATCAGAATTCGGACACATGATGGTAAATTCTGCATGATGAACAATGTTAGGCATGTTCCACAGGTCACGAACAATCTAATTTCACTTAGTCTTCTAGAAAGAAAAGGGTTCAGTTTCAAAGGTACGGGTGGAGGGTTGTATGTCTACAACGGTTCAAAGGTAATTCTGAAAGGTGTTAAACGGGAGACATTGTATGTGTTGCAAGGGTCTACGTTATCTGGTTCTGAGTCTGGTGTTGTCACATCATCTATGCGTGATAGTGTTAAGAAACAGGGGAAGCATAGAGTCACTCTAGGTGGGGGTAATGATCCACATCCGGGAAAGATCAGTCAACACTCACTGTCTAAGTCTGAATCTGAAGCACCACAGTCTTCGCCTTTGAAATCGGGTCAGCCTTGTTTGGCTCTTGGTCGGCATGTAAGCTTTGGGAACTCTCCCCGAAGGAAAGGTTGAGAAGACAAGGTAACTTTTGCACTATTGGTTGGAGAGGTGGATATATTTGAGCCATCTAAGGGAGGTGTTGCTCGTGCTAAGAAGAAGCATTGGAAAGTTGTCTGTTCGAATACGGTTCCGCAAAGTAAGTCCGAAGATTGCTTGGACTTACAAATTATTCGAAGCTATTAGTAGCCCTTATGGGCTAATCTGGTGCCCAACAGGGCAAATCTAGTCTGGTGCTTAATGGAGCAAATCTGGTGCCTGGCGGAGGCAAATCTGATCAAGGAGAGTATGTTTCTGGTTATTTTTTTTTCTGTTTGTAAACACCTGATTGTGTCTCACCAAAAACCAAACCTAGTGATGAGTACCTTTCACGTCTTTGATTATCAAGTTAGGTGAAGAGTTGAAGAGTCTCGTGAATCCCTTTAGCCTTGACCATTTATAACCTTTTCTAAAATGTTTTAATTCAAAATCATTTATTTCGTACCCTTAAACCCAAAATCATTCATTTCGTGTCTTTGAAAATCATTCATTTCATGTCCTCTTTATAAAGACACCCAAACAAGTCTATTTTGGTCCATAATCCTGGTCCAATTATTGCTTAGTTGGATGGGGCTTGAAAAGATCTTTTCAATGATATATTATAAGCCCAAATTCGAATTATAACGAATAAATTATTGCCCAAATTGGACCAAGGTTCACCTTACCTACGACCCAATGATCATGTGGAGGGTCCAAATACCTTAATCCGAATCCTAAACCAATAAGAATTCATTAGAAACTTCTATAAGTCTTAAGATGGTTCTAATCTATCCTTTTCGAAAGATAAAGATCACGAGTTTGAAATTGAATAAAACTCCTCTCTTTGAAAATCCTTGTTCTATTCAAATTCAAAGATGTTTAGATATGATTTTCGTGCCTCATAATTTTTATCCATATATTAAATGGTTGGATAGCCCTTGAAATTATCTTTCCAATGATATATCATAATCCCAATTCCGAGTTATAACGAAAAAGATATGAATGAAATACCAAACTCTATCCAAAACTAACACTGTTCCACTATTTCGATCATATCTTTTATTCTACAAAATATAACAATCTGATTCTAATTGGACTGGAAAGTAGACTTCCAAAGCTTTCCAACAATATATTATTTATCTTATTCAAATTTCTAGATCAAAAGTTATGATAAAAACAACAACCGCAAAATTGCAGGATCATCGCACCACTACAAAGGCTGTTGCGTCACGATAAGCCTGTCGCACCTAGGGGTGTTCAGATCCGGGTACCCGAAAATCCGGGTACCCGGATCTTCGGGTAGTTGATAAGTCGGCATGTGTCCCGTCCCGGATAATTCGGGTACCCGGTATTCGGGTAACCGAATTATCCGGGACGGGACACGGGTACCCGGATTTTATTATCCAAGAAAGAAGTGAATCGAGAAACCTAAAATGGATCTCCTCTCCTCCTAAGCCACCACCGCAATTCACCACCCACCACCACCGCAATTCACCACCCACAACCCACAAGTCCACCACCACTTAAATTCACTCCACCACCATCAAAACCTCCCACCAACCCAGATCCACCACCGAAACCCCAAACCCACAACGAATAGGTACCCGGTATTCGGGTACCCGAATTATCCGGGACGGGACACGGGTACCCGGATTTTATTTATCCAAGAAAGAAGTGAATCGAGAAACCCAAAACGGATCTCCTCTCCTCCTAAGCCACCACCGCAATTCACCACCCACAACCCACAAGTCCACCACCACCTAAATTCACTCCACCACCATCAAAACCTCCCACCAACCCAGATCCACCACCGAAACCCCAAACCCACAACGAAGCGACAACCCAACACCACCGATAGCCAAATACGATTAAGTTAAATTCCTGAGATTAGACAAATACATCTCTAAGATTAGACAAATACATCTCATTAGAAATTATAACCCAAGTGGAAATTGAAAAGGACGAAAGAAATTAACAGGGGGAGGAGGAGAGAAAAAGAAATTAACAAGGGGAGGAGGAGAGAGAAAGAAATTGAAGAAGATAGGGTGTGGGACTGTGGGTGAGGTAATGGGTGGGTAATTGTTCATATTTACATCAAATGAAATAAAAGGTAATACTTTCTTACTCTTGTACTTCGTAGTTCATATATCAAATATTTAGGCAGTAAGTTTGTACAAATGTATGTAATAGTACTACTGGGTAAGTGGGTATCCGTACTTTTTTAAGGTTTTTTTTTTAAAAAAAAAAAACGGGTATTCGGGTACCCGATAATTGCAAAGCTTGTCCCATGTCCCGGCCCACGAAAGTGCTATTTTATCGGGATGGGTACCCGACCCGAAAAAAACAGAAAATTTTAAAAATTTCCCATCGGGTTTTTTGCGGGTCGTCGGGAAATCGGGACGGGACAACCGGGTCGGATTTTTTTGAACACCCCTAGTCGCACCGCGATAGAACCTGTTTTACTTTGATTTGATTTCTGACTCTTTTCTGATCCTTCGACCCTTTTTTTTCTTATAAATAGAGGTCGTTTCACCCCGTTTTCAATCATCAACAAGCTTGATCACCAACAATCATCATCTAATCCCTTCTCTAATTCTTTCTCTCTCTTTCTTGAATATTTTTTTAGCCTAGCCTAAACACGTCTTAATACATCCTTGATACTTTTCCCTAATCAAACACCATACCTCCTTCACGAGCTTCGAATACTCCTAGCCAATCTCGAAGTTGCCTTCGACCTCGACGTGAAAGGTTGATAGTTCTGAGGGTTTGGTCCCTAATCTATATTTTAATTCTTATTTATTTACTTTATTTGATTTAATCTTTCTTGAAGTTACTAACGTGTGTATTGTTTTGATAGAAAGAAATACAAGGCATCGAAGTAAGTAATTCAATTATTTAATTATTCTTTTGATATAGAGATCATGTTAGGATGTTTCTTTTGATTCCTAGTATCATGTTTAGGGTGTTAATTAATATTTCTAATGTCATGTTGGTTTCTAGTATCATGTTTAGACTAATGCTTTGATTGTGATTTTTATTAGTGACATGCTAGGTTTTGTTATTAATCCGTTTAGTATCATGCCTAGGATCTTCCTAATCATGTCTTGCTAATAATATTATGATATTGATTGTTGTGTCAATTAATTATTATATGTTGCTAGATTATTCATGATTGATTGTTAGTGCTTGATCACGCCCTTTATGCAGGTTTAAAGTGAATTTGTACGTACTTGAAATCATGCCTAAAAGATAATTAATAATTTGTTGTTTTAGGCTTAATATAATTTTAATGCAAGTGATCACCAATAATAGATTTATTTGTGTATTAATTATCAACAACGTAGATTAAACAGGTTTAGGGCTAACTTGATGTATGTATGTTGATCGAAAAGCGCACATGAATATCATAAGAATTAAGTAGAGGCCGATTTAGGACGAGTTCAATCTCTTTAGGTTGGATTCATACCATCATCCTTGAATATTCAGTCATGGTTCTGGACCACTATGGAGTTAGTGATCTCCGTGATCGTGAATGGGGTGTAACCTTCACATCCGTGAACGGTTTACAAGTTCCTAAAACTTGGTGGCGACTCTTTTATCTCTAGCTTCCTTCGTTTTGGACGCTACCATGCCTAAAAGCATGATCACAGTGGGGCTCAAGTTTGAGTTTGAAAAATTCCCTACACTGTTATATCCGTCTGTTTTCTGGAACATCTAACGTCGTGTTCGACGCATCCGGTACATCTGTCTGTTCTGGTACATCAGTTTTATTGTGAGGGGATTTAAGTCAAGGTGGAGATTTATAAGAAATAGTGCCTTGAATCGGGAGCTAGGAAGTTTAGAAGGTGCAGCAAGACACGCCCACGTCTTAGGGAGACATGGGCATGCCTCGACGAAGAAGTCGCAAAGCTAGGAAGATGCAGCGAGACACGCCCATGTCTTAGGGAGACATGGGCATGCCTCAACGGAGGATATGAGCACTCGCATTGACACACCCATGTCAAAATCTGACGTGCCCGTGTCGTTTTGTTTCCAAGTTACTACTTTGTTTCTAATCCAGGGCACGCCCATGCCCTGTGTGACACGTCCATGCCTGGGGTTTTTTGGCAGATTTTGATTAGTTTGTTCATGGGCCTTATTTCCTTAATTAACGCCTTTCTTTTATAACCTAGGGATTATTATAAATAGTCCTAGGTTATTTCCTAGCCGTGACAATCATTAGTTGAGTGATTATTCAGAAATCAGAGAGTCTTTTTTGTATTTCTCATCTGTGAGATCTGAGAGAGATAACATTAGAAATCAATCTGTTTTTTGTGATTGGTCTCAAATCTGTTCTAAATCTGTAATATGTTTTCCTCAAGATCATTAAAACTACTATTACTCTCGCTTGCCCGTGGACGTAGCCAACGCATCGTTAGTGAACCACGTAAATCTGTGTGTGTTTTTCTTGTCAATTTTACATTCAATATTTGTTCTTTCTTGCATCTGTTATAACAGGTTGGATTATTTCTATTAAATTTTCCTAACTTATATTCATCTCACCATAGATCTCTACTTATACATACCTTCTCTCTTAATAAGTACATAAAAGATTATTATATATGAAATACTAAACACTTTATAATGACATTGAAAATAAATCAACCAGAAAAGAGAGAACTGAGAGAAAGTCAAGCAATTTAACCTTTCCAAATGTCTCAACTCTTATTAAACAATCATTTTCTCCTTATCTTATCAAACACTCCCAAATAGAGATAGAGCTTCGTTAGTTGGGTTCATCACATTTTGACTTACATACATGGCAATGTATAACTTTGACCATTAATATCTTTTATTTTCTACTAGTAAAAAATTATAAAAAAAAATAAAAAGTAGAAAATCTTATATAATGAATACGAAATATATGCTATAGGACTAATCCAATACTACATAAAATTTTATATAACAATACATTTACATTTACCTATCGATAATAAAAATGTTGTCAAAATTAGTACATAAACTAGTTTTTGCTCGAGCAATGCTTAGATATTCACAGGAAAAAAAATTTATCTTCATAAATTGCTATAAGTTTGTATTTGTTTATATATTGTGTATACATTTATATTTATTTATGTTATCAAATTATTATAGATGAGATAAGTTAATGTAGAGTATCTCTATTTTGTACTTTGCTTACATGTTTGAATTTAAAATTGACTTAAAATTCTTTTATTTAGTAGGAAACGAACTATACATTTTATAGAATAACGATTAAAGATACAAGGGAATATACATTTAATAAATTAATGATTAAATATTTTTTTTATTTAAAGTTGTAATTGTTCTAATTTTTTGGGTTGTTTAGGCTACATATTCTCTTTTTTTTTTTTTTATCAGTTATCTTATTATTTTGTAAGGAAAAAAGAAAAAAAAAATTGGCAGGAAAATTTTTGTTGTAGACGCAACACGTGTACTTTGGGGATAATAATAATACTGGTGAATACTTTAGTATATATTATTGATTGATATTGATTCAAGAAAATCCAATACAAGTTTATCTTCTTAATGGGTAAACAAATATCAAATGAGAAAAATATAAATATACAATCAACTTTTGTTATATGTGGGTCCAAAGCTATAGATTTATTTACAAAATTGTCATGCTAATTGAACAATATTGTTGATTTATTTATGACTTTACCATTTCTATTTTTTTATTTTGTTTGACAGGAGACTTTACCACTTGATAAAAATTAAAATGACACACTTATTAAAAATATTGAGGGTGAAATAAAATATGATACGGAATACAGGAAAATCATTAAAGAATGATTTTAGATGAAATTAGGGGTGAATGTGGTCCGATTTAGGGCATAACCCAAGCCAAATCATACAAATACGGTTTAACATTTTTTTCAAACCAAATCGAACCGTATCTTATGTCTAACCAAACCAAACCAAACCAAACCGCATTAAAACGGTTTGGTGCGGTGGTGCGGTTTAGTTTGTGGTTTTACATTCCTTTAATTTATTGTTGTAAAATTATATATTTTTTAATGTAAAATATGTTAATTGTTTAACTAGACAACTTATAATGACATGAAAAAAAAAACAATATGTTTGTAAAATAAATCATATACATCAATTAGATTAATAATTTTCCAAAATGAATATAAAAAATATATATATATTTTTTATCTATAAAACGGTTTACTACAGTTTGCGATTTAGTTTGGTTTCAATTTTTCAAGAAACCTAACCAAACCAAAAAATTGCAGTTTTAAATTTTTATAAACTAAACCGTATACCAAATTTGTCAAAAACAAAAAGGAAAAAAAAAAAAACACTATAAACCAGACCAAACAGCTTTTGGTTTGCGGCTTGGTGCGGTTCAGACCAAACTCTGAACATCCCTAAATGAAATACGAAGTGTGAGACAAACAAATATACACAACGGGAGTATTTTTTATTGGGCTTGCACTTTGATTGAGCAACAAACCCCTCAACCATTCTAAAACCAAAATATAGTGTTAACTAATACTAAATAGTGAAAATTATCGTGTATGACGCGAAACCTAACCTAGTTTAATAATAAATAAATAACAAAAAAAAAACTTATACAAATTGAAAAAAAAAAATAATAAAGACCTATAGTTTAAGAAGGATCAAAACCTTAACGAGCAAATCATAAGCTACTCGACTCGACTTGAAACTCTTATGAGCATGAGTCGAGCAAGGTCTTATTGAGTTTAGCGAGTAGCGAGCACGAGTCAAGTACATGTAAAAAGTTTTCGAGTCAAGTTAAGCCGAGCACTCCTAAGCTCATGATCGATTAGCACTCCTAATTCAGATCAAAATCTGAACACTCTTGAATGAAAGACGGAGTATGAGGCAAACAAATAGACGGAGGGAGCATTCTTTATTGGGCTTGCACTTTGATTCAGCAACAAACCCCTCGGCTCATTCTAAAACCAAAACAGACTTTGATTCAGCAACAAACCCCTCGGCCCATTCTAAAACCGAAACACTAAAACCCTAATTTTCTCCCCTCCTTCATTTCTCACTCTCTGCGGCAGCAGCAGTTTTCTCTCTCCTTCATCTTCTTCCTCTCGATCTCATCTTCCTGCAACTTTCTCTCTCCTAAACCCAGAACAACAATGGGTCGAGTTCGCACAAAAACAGTGAAGAAATCCTCACGCAATGTCATCGAGAAATACTACTCAAAGATGACCTTAGATTTCCACACCAACAAGAAGGTTCTTGAAGAAGTCGCCATAATCCCATCAAAGAGACTGCGCAACAAGATCGCTGGCTTCTCCACCCACCTCATGAAACGTATTCAGAAGGGCCCAGTTCGTGGGATCTCGCTGAAATTGCAGGAGGAAGAGAGAGAAAGGCGTATGGATTTCGTTCCTGATGAATCCGCCATTAAAACTGATGTTATTGAGGTTGATAAGGAAACCATTGATATGTTGGCTTCTCTTGGTATGTCTGATTTGCCTGGTATTGTTCAAATGGCTGCTGATCCTGTTCCTGTTCTTCCTGCTGCTGCTGGCTTTGGTCGTGGTGCTGCTGGTTCCAGGAGGTACTAATCAATTGGATTTAGGGTTCATGATTTTAATTTTGCGAGTAATGGATTTAGTAGTAGGAGAATTTTGGGCGTAATTTGGTGATGGAATGTTTTCGTATTTTGAGGATTTTCTCTATGATATGACTTTTTATTATCAATATATAAATGAATGAATTATGTCTTTTGTTCATTCTTTCCTATTAATTTTCTGTTTATGTTGATTGATTGATTAGTTTTCTGAATTGGTTGAATTAGTTATCTGTTGGTTGAGAGATGTAAAAATTATGGGGTTGTTTAGAGAAATTATATTCTATTTTTGTTTAGAATATTCAGTATTTTGATTTAGAGCTTCATACAAATTATGATGGAGCTGTGAGTTCATTATTGACTCGATCCGTGGTCGATTCGATACTTGTTGAAGCATATTGGGGAGCTTATTAATTATTGAGAATTTGGATTGGGGTGTTAGTATGCTGTGGTGTACTGTGGATAATTTCAGTCATCATTCTATTGAGTGGTTAGGCTACCATACTAGCAAGCTATTGCTTGTTACACTGCTAAGTTATGAAGAAATACTCTAGTGTACTGAATACTGATAATGATCAAGATGGGTTTTGGGCCTTTGTTTGGTGGAAAAGCTGAATTGGTCGAACAAAATTTCTATATGAATATTACAAACTACTACTACTTATTACGGATTCAAAATTGAGTAGGTATTACTATAAGTGAGTGTGAGTAATGAGTTGCCTCACATTGTAGCTTTGTGGTGGCTATATAGAAAGAGCCTCTGGACTCCAGAGCCCTTTAAGATATTTTCGTAGATTAAGGGATTTGCTGAATGGTTATTTTGTATGGTTATATTGTTGGGGTAGCATGTTGTGATGAGGAAATCACTTTGTATGTATCAATGTTTCCACATAATGAATACACATTTGCCTTGCTTTTAATCAGTTGTTGCTGAAGCTTCAATCCTTGAGTTGATAGCTACTGGTGCAGGGGCCTTAACGTTGCATTATGCTATGTTTTTGTAATAGGTGCTTAAACTTGCAGTCTTTTTTGCACTATCTTGTTCGCTTTTTTATTCCATTTTCATTGTCGGTTGGCACACCTATTATTATAGGACCTTGTGCTTAATGTAAAGGCTCAGTAGCGCTGATGTTCCAATGCAATACATGACTAGTTACCTGTTTTTGTTTTTCACATTAGCTATTGACCTTGCAGAGTGCTTGAAATGACGGTGATTCCATATCAGGGGTGGGTTTGTCTTTGTTTTGGTAGGATTATGCATGAAACTCCAATTGCATTTGTTTGAGTCACATTAGTGTGTTTATGACAACCATCATTACTGTCTCACATTACAAGTTCCACTCTATATCTATTTTATACGCAGCCAACCAATATTGGCTTTCGGTGTGCTGCTAGAATTAAGATGGACGAACGTTTAGAGCATTAGAATGCTGGCAAAATGCATCGCTACTCTCTCCTTTTGTCTTTGCCTTTCATGCTACAGCACACCACATTGACACAATGGGTTGGGGAAACAAAATCTGCCCTTTGGTGAACTTCACCGTCTTCAATGCCTTCATCCTCATTATTGCTACTTATATTATGTTGCTGAAACTCCAAACCGACTTCGTCTATGATTTAAAACCAAACGCCTTCATTTTAGAGAAAAAGAACTTGCTCGTTCAATTTGTGCCCCAAGGAGTAGAAACTCTAACAGACCATATATCAGAGTACAGAATTGATCAGTCTTTTTTACCAACGGCTATTTCAGCCAAAATCTGGAAAACTAATTTGATAAAACCCTTACTAACGGTCATATGTATCTTTTCTCTATGAATAGAGGTTCTGTGAGTTGTTCTCACAATTTTTTTTTCAGATTCTCCCTCAAAGTCTTTTCCATCTCATATTACATACCAAGTTCGTATAATATTTGCTTCATTTTCTTAAAAAAAAAAAAAATTCCAAAATAAATTCTCTATATTGTTATTCCATTCTCAAAAATTGAATTTCTAATTATGCACCCAACATAAATTCTCTATATTGTTATTTCATACGATGAAAAAGCGGAGTAAAGGGAGAAAGGGGACCATTGCTATGAAACTGGATATGAGCAAAGCCTATAATCGAGTGGAATGGTATGTTCTAGAAAATTTATTACAAAATATGGGGTTTGCAGATCGATTGGTGAGACTTGTGATGGATTGTGTTTCTACGATTTCATATTCTTTCATCATTAACCGTAATGTAGTGGGTTTAGTGTTGCCCTCTAGGGGGTTGAGACAAGGTGATCCTTTATCACCATACCTCTTTATTATAGTGGCGGATGCTTCTTCGGCTCTGATTAAAAAGGCATCGGATCACAGATTGGTTCATGGAGCCAAGGCTAGTAGGAAAGGGCCGAAAATCTCTCATTTTTCGTTGACGACAGTCTGCTATTTGCAAGGGCCAACCGTGTAGAATATTCGAAGATAGTTGATATGCTCAACATTTATGAAGCAGCTTACGGACAGAAAAATATTTATGAAAAATCGAAGGTCTCTTTTAGCAAAGGCGTAAGTGTTTCGAAACAGGAAGAGTTCATTGATTTACTGAAAATGCGACCGGTGATAAAACATGAAAAATATCTTGGGATTCCTACTGTCATCGGAAGATCCAAGAGGATAGTGTTTGAGGCTTTGAAAGATAGAATATGGAAGAAGTTGCAGGGCTACAAAGGGGAGCTGCTATCGAGAGCCGGAAAGGAAGTTCTTATAACATCAGTAATTTAGGCCATTCCAACTTATTTGATGGGGGTGTACAAGTTGCCTAGCAGTGTCATTGATGAAATTCGATCCCTCACCGCAAGATTTTGGTGGGGAAATTCGGATGCTAGGAGGAGAGTTCACTGGCTAAGCTGGAAAGTTATGTGCACACCGAAGTGCTTGGGTGGGATGGGTTTTCGGGATATGGGAGTCTTTAATGAAGCACTCCTTGGTAAGCAAGCTCGGCGACTTATCAACAATCCCCAATCACTGTTTGGGCGAGTTATGAAAGGCAAATATTTTCCTCACTCGGTTTTTTTGGTGCCCTCACTTGGCTTTAATGGCAGCTACTCATGGCGTGGAATATGGGGAGCTAAATCTCTTGTGAAAGAAGGGCTGATCTGGAGAGTTGGAGATGGCTCCAAAATCAGAATTTTTGATGACCCGTGGCTAGCTGATGATAAGGGGAGGTTTGTTTGCACTCCAAGGGTTGATGGGCTGAACGTGGTTAAGGATTTAATAGATGCTGAAACGAATGATTTGGACTATGAGCTGCTCTCCGGAAAATTTGAAGAGAGGGATGTAAAATGTATTTGACTATACCACTTAGCCTCAGAACTCAGGATGATATTCTGACATGGGCATTCTCCAAAGAGGGTGCGTATGATGTGAAATCTGCATATATGATTGGAAAGACTTGTGATTTAGGGGCCTTCCATCAAGTGTGGGTAGACATTTGGGGTCTTGATACAATTCCAAAGGTTAAGCATTTTCTCTGGCGAATTAGCTCTAACTCCCTGCCAACGTGTGCTCTCTTGTATCATAGGCACATGGGGGATTCGGATCTCTGCCCGTGGTGTTGTAGTGCTCCTGAAACGTTGCATCACACCTTCTTTGGCTGCCCGGATGTGCAGGATTTGTGGGTTGAGTGCAAATGCTCTGAACTTGCTGTCACAGACCCAGCTTTCGACTTCAAAGAGATTCTTATGGGGTGGAAGCAAGGGAATGAGAGGAAGTGCTTAGTTGGGGTTGCATTGCTATGGCAGATTTGGTGCCGTAGGAATGAGAAAGTATTCAATGGCAAAGAAATCCCTCACCCAATAGTAAGAGACCGAGTTTTTCGCTTGGTGGAAGACTGTGGCAAGTATGCTGCAAAGGTCTATGGTTCGGTCAGCAAGAGAAAGTGCAGAAGCCCGAAGAAATGGCTCCCTCCTCCTTCTGATTTTGTGAAGATCAACTGCGACACTTGCCTCAAAACCGATGGCTGGATTGGTCTTGGGGCTGCCACTAGAAATGCTGCTGGGAGGTTCTTTTTGCAGGGATGAGGAGAGTTTGAGGCTACTGGCCAGCTGAGATAGCCGAGTGCCAACACATTATAGCTCGTCTCTCGAAGGCTTCAACCTATTTCACAGACCTTGATTCGGTGATGGATGATATTTTTTAGGAAAAATTGCAAGGAAGGTCCTTTTAAGGAGTCGATCTTGTGAGGGAGGTCCTTTTATGAACAAAGTGGTGAGGAAGGTCCTTTTATAACGTTTGGGTTGCGTGGAGGGTCCTTTGACCAAACTCCGGCGTTGACTTCCGTTTTCCGTCCAAAAAAAAAGTCACGTGTTGTGCACGTGACCTCTTAAATCTGATTTTTTTTTCTTTTCTTTTTTTCCCTTTTCCTTCCCTTTCCCTCTTCTTCAAAGCAGTAAAATTTTGCAAATATCATTTTTTTTTTCAATCTCTGCTTTCATTTTCTTTTCGCATTCCTTATATTTTCGTGTGATTTCCTTGTTTGAATGCAAATGCTATGAACATTTCTTGTCCTTCTTGCACATTAATCGAATTTTTGGACGAATTTCATGAAGAAATCTAAAAAATCGATTTGGGGGTTTTCATTTGGTGAAGCTATTCTCAAAATTCTTTGCACCACTTGATTGTATATTGAATTGTGAACAATTTGGTGCAAATTTTATGCAATTTGGTTGAAAAAATAATAGGTTCCCATTTTTGAGCTTGCCCCCTACGGCCTCCCATGGAGTTCCCTCCATTGTTGTCTTCTTGAATCTTGGCATGTGTGTGACTAGTCTATGTTATGTAGTTATGAAGAATATAAAATTGTGTTAGTCAATTTGCATGATTTCTAAGCTTCCCAAGTGAGGGAAATTGAAAGAAAATAAGGGAGGGAAATTGAAAGGGAAAAGGGGAAGTCGTGGAAGAAGAGGGAAAGGGAAGGAAAAGGAAAAAAAAAAAAATCAGATTTAAGAGGTCACGTGCACAGCACGTGACTTTTTTTTGGCCGGAAAACGGAAGTCAACGCCGGAGTTTGGTCAAAGGACCCTCCACGCAACCCAAACGTCATAAAATGACCTTCCCCACAAGGTCGACTCCTTAAAAGGACCTTCCTCGCAATTTTTTCCTATCTTTTATCTTTGTTCTAGCTTTGATTTGTTGCTTGGTCTCATGTCAAAAGGGATGGGAATTTTGTTGCCCATTCACCTAGCTAATTTAGTTCCGTTTGGTGTCGAACAAATTTGGGAGAATTTTTGCCCCTCTGTTATTGCTCCTTACATTCTAATGGACAATTTGTCCATTGATTAATAAATTTGACACTAAATGTCTTTCAAAAAAAAAAAAAAAAAAAACATTATGCACCCAAATAAATCCAATACCTCAAATAATCTCAACTCCCAAATAAATCCTGATACTTCTCAAATTGACCCAAGTTTTGTTAATCATCCCCAATTCCAAATGTTGGTGCAGAAGTGTCGAAATAACCCTAAATTACCACAACAATTTCTTAGCAGAATAATCACTCCTAATTTACTCTCCTCAAGTTCCCCAACAAAATCCTCAAACTTGTACAAGAACTCCAACACTTAATTTGGCACGGCATTCGAAAACGACCCAACCGTCTCCAAGTGAGGAAGGAAGTAACTCCAAATCCTTCGTCTCCAAGCGGTGATTCTGAAACTTCAAATGAAGAGTCCGGCAGTGAATCACAACTCCCCACAACTTAACCAAACACAATTCAACATGAAATGGACAGTAGATGAAGATAAAGCTCTCCTTACGGCTTTTATGATGTCAGGCGTTGATCAACTCAACGGCACCAGTAAAATATCAAGAGATAAGTGGGTGAATATTATGCGAGCCTTTGAGGTGGCTCGACAAGAGAATCCTTACAACATCAAGCGTAGAAAAATGGAGGCTGTCAAAAGTCGATGGAGAAGAATGAATTTGTCTGTGAAAAAGTGGGCTGATGTGTACGCGGAAGCAAGCAAACTGAAAGGCAGTGACTCAAGTGAAGCTGATATCTTGGCTGATGCCCACAGGATGTATCAAGGGTGCTCAAATGGAGCACGCTTCACATTCAAGCACTCGTGGAACATAATAAAGCAACATCGTAATTGGCAGGGCTCAACGAACCATTTCCCTTACGAATGTAGTGGTAATGTTGGGGAAGTTGCTATGAAGAAAACTCAAGAGAAAGAACAAGAAATGGAAGAAAGTCTAGAGAAGATGCGACATGAGAATATGAAAAAGATGGAAAAGATAGAGAGACTCAAGAAACTTCATATGCTAATGACTATAACAACTTAATATGATAAAATGGTTTGAGATGATTCCAGTAAGTCAAAGTAACAATTTTATAAGTAAATGAACAGTATCTGAGCAAATATAATTACAAAGTTAAAGAGCTTTTAGCAAAACAGTAAATCATTCATCATAATTATGATGATACACATCAATATCATACAAGCACTGTCATTGCACAGCTTGCAAAAATACAACCCCGGGTGGTGGAGGGGGGAGGAGACCGTGGAAATAGGATCATCAAGCTTCATAAATAGACAATATGTATCCTTACGTCAATAATGCCCAGAATGCATGCACATTACTGACTGGAATTTGCAAGGCCGACCAAGTTAAGCATGTTTCTATCCTCCTTAAACCTTTCTAGCACAGTACCTTCAAGTGCATTGCTCCCTTTTAGTTGCACTTCTCTAGGAAAAACACTCCAACATTCTATTACTTCCGGGCATATCCTGTTGGATTTCGAAAGGGGAGGACTCCCAAATGTAGTACACTCGAAGGTTTGTCCAGCGTCAAAATTTGCTGTCAGAAAGAGACCAAAGTGATGAGCCCGCCCTCCAAAGCCAATTCCGTTTGGGATAGATTCTGAACTGTAATTGACAGCGCACTGCAAATGTGGAAGTCCATCAGCTACGGAAATTGAAAGACATAATATAGACAAATTCAAGGAATTCACTACAGTTAGAGCACATCAGAAAGTATAACAGGGTAATTTACACGACCATTTGGAAGTTTCCAGAAACTGAACTGTAATTCTAAAAAGCTGGAGAAGCTACCATACATTGTATTGAGATTATTGAAGTACCCTCATTTATTGCACTCAATATGGGAAATATTTCCCTTAGGCCTTAGTAATGGGTTCTCACTTCTTAGGGGCCAGGGAATTTCACATTTTCAGGCAAGGGTAAACTAATAAATTTAGGTGTATAAGTGAGTGGTAGATAATTTGTAAGGAAGAAATGATTCGTTGCAGAAACACAATATTATTTACTTCAAAAATAGGAATATTTCATTTCTTAGCTCTTACCCACTGCAAATTGTTATTTGCTCCAGTTGGCCGATAAATAGACAATTTTGGATGTAGCTGAAACAGAATACACTTTAGATCACCGTAGAAATCACTGTGCTTTTGCCATGGTTGGGAAGCATAACCTCCATATATGTAACCTTCTGTATCCTTGATAATCAACACAGTTGGCCCTTCATCAATTCTGCACTCAAATTGTAATACTCATTACTTCGGTTATAGTTTTAAGCTATCAACATCAAACGTGCATTGTCAAAAAGCAGACAATATTCTTCATCAAACTGCAGGACTTTCAAAGATTACAGTAGCCATTAGCTGTGAATATTTGGTTAAGCGCATAAAAACTAGGTAAGCCTGATGTTTCCAATCACAACAACAAAACCCTTAACAATATGGAACAAGAATGAACCAAAGAGAAAAAAATGAAGTATACATGAGAAAAGAGAAGCTAGATGTCATCTATCATAAACCATGCTTTGAGCTTTCCAAGATTTAGGACAATTAAACACTCATTAGTGAAAGTACATATAAAACTCACGCGACTTTGCCCAGGAATGTGTTGAAACTCTGGCCATGGTATGAACTGTGGTACAGAAGTTTCCACTCCACCAGCTCTAGCTGGGTGAGAAGGCCACCTATCAGCCAAGCATATTCCTCTTTCAATATTAGGTTGGAATCATAATTTTCAGGGTACAGCAGACGAGGAACTTGAGAGCCCACCCTCCCTACATAATAAAAGGAGTCAAAGTTTGCATTAGAAAATAGAGAAAGTCTAGCAACAAAAGTTTGTCCATTAACAAAACGAGTTCAACTTGCTGACAGAACGCAGCCATTAGGTTATAGCTTGTAAATTAAAAGTTTAAACTAACAGAAAAGATGGGGAGCAGATGTCTTCACAGATCATACTCTCTTAGTAAAATTAATAACAACTTTTGACACTGGAGCACGGGTAGGAAAACTAATTAAACCATTCTTCTAGTCTAATTAAATATATTTATTAATAATTATGCTATTGACTCCCATTTTACTTGTTTGGTTTTATGGCGAAACCTTTATTTACTTGTTATTTCAAATTTTCAATCATAGCTAAACCAAGCAGGCCAGCACAACCTACAGGATAGGATACAGCTGAATACAAAACAGACATATTTCTCCTAAAGGTTTTTACAAGTTCTCTACAAATCTCCTTCTATTTTGGTTATTTTGTACATAGAATGCTTAGACAAACAGCTCCATGATACGGTGCCATTTGATCTTAAATACTTCCTCCTTTCTCTTTTATTCGTAATGTGTACAATTGCACTATTCATGTTCTCTCATTTGACCACCTTTGTTGATTTATATGTTGGGCAAAAATATAGTCAGGCGGAATCTTGTTAGATCGTCTCAATTTACATTTTCACAATATCAAATTTTAATATTTTTTATATATGAATAATTAAAGATATAATTGATTAATATCATGAATCTGCAAACGTAAAAGTCAAAACGTTGCGAGTAAAAGATAACGGAGGTAGTACAAAGTACCATAAGTTGCAATTTGTGGGAAACGATTGGAGCTTCATGCATCCAAGTTCACAACTAAAAGTGTGTGTTTGGAACAAATTATAAATAGAGACACAAGAAGCACCTTGCACTCAGAAAAAAGTGTAAAGGCCTTAAAACACTCTTAATCCTTAAACAAGCTTCTTTTGAACAAAAAAGCTAGAGAAGATACCGGTGCCTCCAATTGGTTCGCTTTCATCTTATTACCAATAGTTACTACCCCAATGAACTCTTTGTTTTTCTCTCAGCCCACACAATATCAACAGATTCTTACCATGTGATGTCAAGGAAGTGAAAGCTCCAAAGAATATAGACCCACCAAAAGAACTGACATAGAAACAGGAGGTGGCACTTTTGCCTTGTTCATAACTCGCTAATTTGCAGAAAAAGTCATAGGAGAAGCCTAAGCTCTCTTTCTTTGAGGCAGGTAAGCTATAAGCTGATATGCTTCAATTACTTTAGTTCCTAAGTTCAAATGTCCAACAACTGTGAATGATTTCTGTCCAATCTCCTATTGTATAATGGTATCACTAAGCTTCTGTGTGAGAGACTAAGGTTAGGGCTACACTAAGCTTCTGTGAGAGAGACTGAGGAAATGTTTCACCCTTGCCTCTATTAAACCATTAGACACTTATCTCACCTTCAACTTCGCTGGAGACTCTTCAAGGGAGAAAAACTCATGGCAGTGAAGAAAGTTGGGGCTGTGAAGTTTTTTTTTTGAACTTTTTGTGAATTTGTAAAGGTTGAATACTTTTGTGGGTTTAAGGAGAGGGGTACTTAACTAAAGGTATTCTTGTCTTTTGTATTTCTATCTCACTTTAACTTAAGAAGTGTGCTAAAAATAAACGTGTCAAACTAATTTAAAACAGAATAGAATCTTTCTTGTTTCCCTCTCATTCATATATAAAAAAATGTTGAAATAATTTTTTAAGATACTACAAACAAGTTGATTTGGTATCTGAAAAAAAGGTCCAGAAATTCATTTTATTATATCCTAGTGCCATAAACTCTGAACTGAAGTGGTGGATCCTTAGATTTGTGCTCTTACCTCACACTTTTTAAAAAGTTTGCATAGTAGTTTGGAATTTTATATCTACCATCATTATAAAAGATACAACTTTTTACACTTGTTGTAAGAACTAGAGCTAAGATCCAATTCTAGTGTGCTAGAATAATCTTAGATACTCGAACAAGAGAATTGATTGATTATATATCATCTGGACTAGACAATTAAGTATACTATAGTTTATCCTCTTCCAAAGAAAGTGACAAATGAACTCTCTGGGTAAGAATGAGAAGATTTGTTCAGGGCTAATGTGTGTGCAATTACATAATACTTGTACTTAGGAAGTGGTGTTGGGGTTTAATGGAATTGAAAATCCAGAGAAAGGTTTCAATTGTTCAGGGCTAATCTTTTATTTTAATTGTAAGGTAGCCAGCAGAAAAGTTTGGGTGGCATAAAATTATCAGACCCCTACATAAACAAGGTCTATACATACTCTTACGACCTGCTAACCTGGAGACCTACTCTCTTGAAAGGAGAACATTTCTAGAGGTTTCTTGTCTTGCAGGTGAAAGAAGACACTAAGCAATGAGCATCTAATGCTCTCTAAGAATGGGTGCATCACTATTGGGGATTTGACAGAAATCGAAATCGTAGAAGGAAATCTAAAATTGTGAAAGCTTAGAAGGTGCATGATGAACAATTGAACAGCTTGCATAAAAGCATCCAGAGTTAATATCATATTTGACAACTGTGGTATTCTTCTTCCCAAGTCACTGATAATGCTTGCTTTTGCGGATTCTTTTTCTCACAGACCCCAAGACTTTAGAGTGTCACTTCCAGGGTAAGCTTGGTGGTTCTTTGAAAACTTACACATAATTAGCTCGTAATCTTGTCCTCAAAAATGAAAATAAAGGCTTATCCCAACACCCCACCAAAGCAGAGCACAAAAAATTAACTTTTTCGAATAGCATGTATCAATCCCTGAAAACAATGAGAACCATTCCCTATCTAACAAGTTCTATCCTTTTAGAAGCTGCAATTTCTAACTCTTGATCATTCTTACAAGCCAAAAATAATGAGAAGGTAATTGAAGGATGAATTAAACCAAGCATACACTGTATATAGTCTATAATCTATAACAACTCTTTCCTTTCTGTTAGCTCAATGCAAAACGATACAAAACAAAGCATTTGTAGCATCCAATAGCAGGACGAGAGTCAAAGAATTAATCCAAAGAGCAGATAGCAAATTATACGTTTCCCTATAGCCTGTGTAGTAGTATAAAAAATTAAAAATAGATTAAAAGATAAGAACCTGGATCAGGTGGCGACAACAAACTTCCAAGGTACTTCCTAAGAGATGGAATATGGCCACACAGGTCTTTGAAGTCTTCAAACGACATACTTTTTGTATCACCTCCTTCATCAT